TAAAGCCACCTCCTCCCAGCGGCGTGCTCCTCGCCAAGTCTCCTTCAAGGCTGAAGGCTTCAAGCTTGGAGGAACACTACGGGCCTTGGTTCAGGTTTTAGGTTTTTAGGGTTTTGGGGGTTTTAGGGTTCAGGGTTTAGGGCTTTAGGGTTTTAGGGCTTTAGGGTTTAGGGTTTTAGGGTTTTAGGGTTTAGGGTCAAGGGTTGAGGGTTTAGGCAATAATCGGAATACCTTTAAAGGGTTACCAAAAGGCTCATTCTAAGCTTCTACAACGGCTTCGCACAGGGGCCTCAATCATTCGAATACGGTTCCAAAAAAGGGTCTGCTAAGGTTAGTATCGGGGCCATGATAATTGGAAAAGGGTTTTGAGCTGTGTATAATATGATGGGAATAACGCAGAACTCTACTAAGGAATACTATTCTCATTGCGAATCCTGTAGCATGTTGCTTGAATCCTCAAAGAAGAAGGAGACGTGGAAACAGCAGTCCCGCTGGATGCCCCCGAATTCAATTTTTCGTTTTTGCCGAAGCATACGGCGAGTCCTGAAGCGGTCAACCCAAAACCCCGAAAGCAAAACCCGCAAACCCTAGTCCTAAACCAACATGTCCTCAGCCCCAAACCGGGTGACAAGAACACGCGGCACGAGACGTGGGAGCACACGGACAACGACACCTTAGACCCCGTAACCCCTAAACCCCAAACTCGAAACCCTTAAGCCCTAAACCCTTAAGCCCTAAACCCATACCCCCCTGTTCGCCTGTAAAAACCCCAAAACCCCACGCGACAAGCCCGACCATGAAATACCTGCGAAGCCCTTTCCACGCCCCGAGATGGCAGACCGAAAACCCTAAAACCTGCACTCAAACCCAGAAAAAAATTGCAGGCATCAGGTTTTGCGCTCAGGATTTCGGGTTGAACGAACCGGGTTTGGGATTTGCTTTCTTGCGGTTCAGGTTCGGCCCTACACCTCCCTGACTCCCGAAAGCCGCCACTTCCAAACCCCACATGCTGGATGCGTAATGTAGGGGCCTGCATAATTAGAATAGGATTTGGAATTAGAATAGGATTTGGGGGGGCCCTTTATAGTATAAGTATAATAAGGAGCCCCCAAAATAGTAGAGGTAATTATTAAGGCCCCCATCTTAGCTTTCGACAGGACATCCTGAGCCCGGAACTGAAACCCTCCACTCAGAGGCTACAGTCCCGGCGACGGTAGTTAGACGCGGGCGGGGCCGTCCACTCCCAGGGTCACCCACCTTCCCTTACGGGACAATAGGAGGGACCCCTAGAAGGGACCCCTAATCCTAATGCCCTATATAACCCTTATATACCCCTTATATAGTCTCGTGAAGCCCCTAGAAAAGCCCAAGATTCCCTTTAAGGGTCCTTTGCTTCCCTTAAGGGACAATACCCTTTATATAGTCTCATGAAGCCCCTATATCACCCAAAGGGTCCCTTTAAGGGTCCCTCCTTTAGTCCCTTGATTCCCAAATCCTGGAGTCGTATCCTCCTTCTGCCTCGAGCCCGAAAGTCTCCGCCCACTACTCGTCACTAACATAGGGGACTTAGTAATGCGAATAAGATTTTGGGGCCCAGTATACTAGAATCCGCCGACCCTGGCGGCGTG